TCTCATTGCCGTATGTAAATTTATCTGGAATCTCTACAAAAAGAATTATTATGTACTTTGGGAAATATACAGTCCTTATTTTCAATGACTTGGATATACCAAAGATATTTGAATTGTATCCTTCCATCTGAATGGATTATTCTGTAAACAGAATGTCTTTGACCCTTACCTCCAACAGTTGATCTGATGATTTCTGGATATAATGCTAAACATGTTTACTGTCGCTGTTATGCTTTGTTACAGCTCGGACATCGCATTCTTGCAGCAACGACATTGCTTTCAGTTGGCAGTTTGTGGTTGGCTTCAAGAAAAATAGACATGCATCCTGCAGTGAAATCTTTAATCGGAAGTACGCTAGGGATGGCATCATTACAGGTAACAACTTTCTCTGATGTTCATCTATTGTCCAAGTTTCACAACATTTTAAGTTGAAAAATTATTTAACCCTAGTTGAGCATTATCCTTTAGGAAGAGAAACATCATTAACAACATTTTAAGTTGAAAAATTATTTAACCCTAGTTGAGCATTATCCTTTAGGAAGAGAAACATCATTATCCCTTTCCTATGTCCTTTTGTAGAATTCCCCTAGTTGAGCATTATCCTTTAGGAAGAGAAACATCATTATCCCTTTCCTATGTCCTTTTGTAGAATTCTTTCTTTGACTAAAAACGTTGATTTTTCTTCTCTATAAAGACATTGCAAGCACACTATTACAGGAAATTCTTATAAGATCGCCTTTTTGAATCTATAACTTTGTCTTCACTAAGTTATCGACTATTTCAAACCCCTCTTAGAGATTGCTCGCAATACTCAGGATTTCAAACTTACAAGATAAACAGAGTGATGATTTCCTAAAGATTAGTTAGCTCCTTGAACAGTGTTAATCAACTTAATACATTTTGAATAGTTCGTTGACAGTCTGAACTAAGAAAAATCCATCAGAATGTGGTTTAGTTTTTGTTTTTCTATTGGCAAGAGTTTGAGAAGTAAATTTCACTTTCACTAATTTGAAAACTCTCTGGTTTTGCTATTTTGCTACCATCAAGCGTTTGAGAAGTAAATTTCACTTTCATTAGTTGCGAAAATCACTCTCTACTTCTGCCAACTTGTGATTTGTTCCACAATTACAGGTGACCCTGGGTATTTCGACACTTCTATATTACGTTCCAGTTTCTCTTGCCTCAGCCCATCAAGCTGGAGCATTGACTTTGCTGACGCTAATGCTTCTTTTAACTCACACCGTAAGAAAGCCATCTCCGGCAATTCTTAAATCCTTGGCGTCGTCGCCAAAAATCAAAGGAAAATTTAAGATTGTTGAGTGAAAGAAAGAGAAACCCACATTATTTTTGGCTAAGCATGAGCTGAAAGGAGTGCAGCATAACATTTTGAATTGAATTTGTGAAATTCAAATTACTTCTTCCTGCTGCTAAAAAAGTATCGATATTCGTTGGTAATGGAAGATGCACTGTCATAGATGCTAGCACTTCAGGGAAAGATATTTGTTTCGTGGAGAAATTTTTTTGTGGCTCTCGGTGATATTGTTCTTGAAGTAAGTCCCCCAAGGCAATGTTATCTGTACCATTTTGTTTTGTATAGAATCATTTATCTGGGATTCATTAATTTTACCTTTATTCCGAATTGAATACTGTGAGATAATTGTACCATTTATATATTTTTACTGAGTTAATAGACTGCTACCAATCTACTTAAACTGCAATTGAAATGGTTATTTTCTTCAGGGACTGTAGTCTTTGACTCAGTATGAAAGAATTTTTATGCGCTGATATCTCATATGCTTGTAACATAATGGTATTTTTGTCAGTCATTTACTTCCATAGTCCGTATCACCTTCCCGTATTCAAATGTTTTGATCAAATTTCTACTCCTTGACACGGGAATTTCACAATGAACTTGTAGAGATTTCTTAGACTGTGCCAATGAAACCAACTACTGCATTTGGTAGAGGTTGATGATGCAAACAGCAAACTCGTATCTAAGTCAAAAGCAGAAGATTTAACAGCATTCAAGAATCCTGAAAACAAAACACAGCCATTTCATCAAAATCCGAACGGTCATCTTCATATGAAGAATATTTCTGCACCATTTCATCAAAATCCGAACGGTCATCTTCATATGAAGAATATTTCTGCACCAAAGTGCAGCAAGCGTTACCTTCTGGAGCATAGTTACGGGTGAAACCGTCTCCTGATCTCAACAAATCATACAAAACCCTTTAGTTGACAATTAAAGTCAGCAAATTCAATCCAGTTTCTAAGTCTCACTGATCACAAAACAAAACCATGAACATATTCACTACACAACAGCATCGATTCAATTCGCAGACAGTCGATCCTACTCCAATCGCACGGAGAAGTTACATAAGGTAGAAGTACCAGATCCTGATCAGAATCACTCCCCAAAAATTTCCCAAAAAAAACCCAACATAAATTTTAAGGCTATATTGACGAAAACAAACTTCCTAATTCCACTGTTTAGAAC